CCTCAATGTTCCTCAAGGGCACAGCCTCGGGCCACCTCGTGCTAAAGTCCACCAAGGTGAGAATATACTTTGCCCCATCGCTCGCCCTTGGGTTTATCGGCCCTACAATGTCCACCGCCACCCTCTCAAAGGGTTCAGAGATCAGTGGGAGGGGCCGTAGTGGTGCAGGCGGAACTCGCCCTCGATCACTGGTTTTCTGGCACACATCACAAGAGAGGACTAGCCTGGTGATCTCCTGGCCCATCCTTGGCCAGAAGAACGCTGCACTGATGCGATCAAATGTCTTCTTTTTACCCATATGACCGCCAAGAGCAGTGCAATGACCTAGCTTGAACACAGCCAGGCGGTACTTGGAAGGAACCACGAACTGCAGTCGTGTTTTACCCAGAGACGTCACAGTCTCTCGGTAGAGACGGTTCCTCTTCTTTACGAACCTCGTTCGATTCCCAAATGTCTCCTTGATGGTCCCAACCATCAAATTCTTGTGTACCGAAGTGAGCGTGCTGTCATGCTCTTGCTCTTGGACGACATCCTGACTATTGATGAGATCAGACGATGTGGCAATAGCCAATGGGGTGACTCGAGGTTTTGTTTGAGCCATACCCCAAGTGACTGCAGCAGCATTAACGTGGGTCAAAGCGGCAGCATCAGTTTTGGTTGCAGCATCCACTCCACAACTGTTTCTTGCTCCCTTGATATTCCCAATGATGAGATCGTATATAGGTTCCCTCATGACTGCTGCAGTGACCCAACCTGAGAAGAAGGGGGTGTCCACCTCAATCTTGGCCACTGGAACCGTTTGAATGTAACTATTGGCTAATTTAACACTTACTTGTGCTCCGGTGTATTGATGTTGCCCCACCAATTCCTTCCTGACAATACAGCCCGATGCCCCACTATCTCGTATGACAGTCGCTGGAACTCCTCCAACGTATCCAGGTTTAACAAGAAAGGTGGGGTGACCCCTCGAGGAGAGGTTGGAGGCGGCAGTTAGTCAGTAGGTGTGTTGGGGTAGACTTGATTCGGTATGAGCCCCTGCCTCAGGTTGCATGACGATCGGCCCTGCTGGAAGGTCAGGCCACTCCCCGCCCACAGTTTGAACATCGGAGGCTTCCAGCTGCTGGTCTCTTTGTGGATTATTATTGCTGGCACCTTGGCCTACGAATTTAGCCACGGCGGCTTCCTGCCGCCGGTTCCATCGTGGGTTGTTGCCCGGGCCCCAACTGTCCTGATACTGCGGGGGGCCTTGGTACTGCTTCTGCTGCAGTTTTTGTTGCTGTCTTTGCGGTTGTGGTTGCTGGTTATTTCCCTGTTGCCTGGGTGGGTTCGGTGGCTGTTTCTGTAGAGGTTGTTGACTTTGTTGGTTACCTGCCGACTCCTTGTTCGACCACCGCCTCCGAGTGTGGTACCCGAAAGCGCTGAAATGAGCGTCTGATTTGCTTGCCATTTCCTTCGATTTCTTAACTCCATTAGCCCTGATTTGAGCCACAAGTTCAGGAGGACAAGACCTTTCAAGACCGTGCGCACCATTAAGTCTATAACCCCTTCCATGGACTTGGGGGTTTCATCCTTACTCATCCACTGAGCCACATAGTCCCTTAAACGATCCCGAAACTGTGCAGCCGTTTCATTTTCTTCCAACATTGCCCTGTTGAACTGATGCCTGGCCTGTTCAGTAGTCAGCCCATATGCCCGCAGCAGTGCAGACTTCATGCCAGGGAATTTATTTTCAGGACGCTCTAGTCGTCGAAGAATCCCTAAAGCTTTCCCATCAAATAGGCTCAGGAACTCAAATTCCTTAATGCTGTCATCAAGCTCGTAGGCTTCTGCGAGATGCTCAAACCGGGAAATGTACATTTCCATGGATTCGCCCTCCTTAAAGGTGGGCATCTGGGGAAATTTCCTATAAGTGACGTTTTGAGTGGGAGAATTTTGGTTCCTTTCCGCTAAGGCCAGTTGGAACTCCCGTTCCCTTTGTCTCTCTTCTCGTTCCAGCTTCTTTTCTTCCTTCTAGCTGGGCTAAGAGTTCCTCATGCTCGCATTGCTTGTCTTCTCTCTCCTCAGCCTTCTCCATGTATGCAACCGCCTCAGCCCCCTCCAGCCCGAGGGCACGTGCTTCCTCAAAAGCCGCTGCACGAGCTGACATGGTGTACGTAGGTGTGGACGATACAATTGTGCAATCATCCACGGTCTGTGTCCCTGTTCGGGCGCCAGTTGTTGCGTTTTAAATGCAGGAAAGTGGTTTTCTTACCGTAGAACTCGGATACCTTCACACTGGTTACTCACCCAAGAGATTATGGTGTATCACTTAGTAGAATTTCGCTCTGTTTCCGGCATTCAATGCGTTGTGTACTTGATAAATGATGATTTAATGAATTCCATTAACTTCCAACATCCATCCAAGTTATTGGTTATACTTTGTCATAACCAATCAGTCATTACCCTTGGTAATAATAATAATAGAGGGATCACAGATACGGGCAGATGATTGCACTTACGTTTATTTGGCACAATTCCATACACTGGACTTATAATTTGCATGGATAGGTCAGTCACTCACATTCACGCCACAGTACCGTAAGTTATAAGGGAGAGTTTGTCAACATGGAGAATTAATCGTTTAGATCTATTAGGCCGGCCTGGAGTGCTCATGTAGCAAACAGGCCCTCACCATTGATCACTTCCTTTACAGGATGTGTTAACTTGTCGCTGGACTTAACAACAATCTCGGGGATTTGCACACACAGACTCGTAGCACTGGTAGGACTGTATGGCCCCTGTTCTTAAGTCCGCGGAGCAGGAGGTCTTCTCTAACCGAAGGTCTAAAGCCCACTGGCTAAATTGGAGTTTTGAGGCGTGAAGTGATGAACAGTACACCACTGTCTCATTGACCTGCCCCCCCCCCCCTATCGGCTGGCTAACATACCACTAATTGAAACATGTTCCAGTTATGGCTGGCCGGTTATCTTATCTCTACCGTAAACAAACATTTGGGATGGGTTGTGGGGGGAGGCCCAACGCAACCCAAAACAATGTGATTTATGATCGAAGATAGAAAACAAATGGAATTAAAGGAAAAAATTGTCCTGTCGGCTTTATTACTTACTATCATCCAAACTACTGCTGTGGGAAATGTGAACGAATTCTATGAAGTACTTCTGGTGATAACCGTCTGCTCTACCATTACCAAGTATATTACTGAGAGGAATAATATAAACAAAATAGAAAGCGTGAGTTGGCCATAGGTACTCTGTCAGCCGGGACCGGTACTACCATATGCCTCAATGACTCTGATCTAGAAGAACT